TATTTGAGATTTTTTTATGATTTAATGCTGGTCAGCCGGGCCAAAAGGATAGTTAGACGAAATGTTTTATGTGCGTGTTATGCAACAGTTTGCAACAGTTTGCAGCAATTATTAAATGGCTGAAACGGCAACTTCTATGAGCACAACTTTGAAAACGTTTGAATGGCTGGTTTTTTGGATAAAGTTTGTCATTTAAACTTTCTGAATTAAAAGGTAACTGAGTGCTTTACGCATATATTTTATTTCACAACGTATATGTGCAAAAGCAATGTTATTATTTTACCAATATATGAAGAGCTTAAAAATGAATGAAAACAACCTTTTAATTAAGCTGTTGTAAACATAATAAAAAACGCATGATTGAATTTCATATAACCAAGAGCACATTTAAACAAGACTTTACACTCGTATTTTCATATAAGCTGTTAAAGTTTTTCACACACGGCTCGGAAAATGACCCAAAAAATACTCATACGCCAGGTGGGGCTCCCGCAGAGGCAGGCAAACAAATAAATAAACTAACGAAATGTGCAGTAATCATGGAGCTGTAGGTTCAAGAACGTTCATTCGGCATGAACTTGAAAAGGTCATCAAATCTTTGCCATAGAAGTGAATGCACTCGACGACAACTATAATTTGAGCTCTTGAAAGCCGGCAATAATAAAATAACGCCAGATAAAAAGAGCGCTGCAACCGCAATTTAAACTAATTTGCAACAACAACAACCATCGGGCACAATGGCAATGACAATAATTTATTTTTGAATTAATTTTTATTCGTTTGCTAAGGAACAGCAGCGGCGACAGCAACAACAATAAAAGACACAACATATGCAACTTCCAACCACAGACATTGTACATTGCACAGTGTCTTGAAATGCTATTAACAAGTGATAAACAATTTTTCAATCGTAAAGTTCATGCCTCCGCAAGAACCACAAACTAAGCCATACACTCAAGTTAACTCATAAAACTGCCAATAAACAGTTCACAAATACTTATGATCAAGATTAGGAAAGTCTGATCTGATCCTGATCTTCCTTAAGTATAACTTTATTAGAACTTTCCAAGCGACTTAGAACCACTGTGCAGAGCTGTCGCCGCCGTTGGTCTTCGGTTTCAGTGACTGTGACTGTGACAGTGACAGTTGTCAAAGAGCGACGTTGGCCTCCATTGCAGCGGCTGCACCCCTACTTGCCCCTCTCCTTCTGACGATCCATCCATCTATCCCCGCTCTCTTTCTGCTCACCCCCCAGGGCTGCTCCCCTTTCTCCCACCCACTCCGATTACCATTGCCATTCCTGATTCCACAGACCCCCGCCAGTCACTCATCAACGCCTGCCGCCCCCGCCAACGCTCCATCTCTTTCTAGCGGACTATATCCATCTCTTTTGTGGGCCGTGTTATTGACACTGCACGCCTAACGGTAGATAAAACCCAAACAGGGCAAACAGCCCACAATGTATGCAGCCGTATGGAGCAGAACTGAACTTAGACGGGGAAAACGGAGGCACCCAGCTGCGACTCTATTTAATTTTCTATTCTAGATTAAATTATAATAAATTGCAATTTTTCTGCCTTATTTACTCGGTTCTTTTATATTTTTTCGTCTGATTTTTTTGCCCTGCATTGCGCAATGCGCTTTTCCTGTTTCGGTCGTCTGGCAATTTGTTTTGTCATGTCTCGTTGGGAGATTTTCTGGATCACAACTCGGAACCAGATGCATCTAGACGCCCACATTAGTGCACGTTGTATGCTAACATTTCCTTAGGGAAATTTGCAAAAATCTCATAAAGTAACAGCAGATAAATAGGAATGTTTCCACCTTACTTTTTCCTATGCAGCCAATTTGGTTTTAGATTTAAATAGCAGTTATATCTACATATATCTTCCAACATAAAACCCGTTCTTCCTCAAAGCCCTAAAATACTTAATGTAGTTTCTAGTTTCTAATTCAAAATGTATATTCAAATCCAGTATTTCACATTTTATAAAATATCTATAACAAAAGGCATGAGAACAATACCCTTTCACATGCAAATAGGTAAAATAGAAAAGGTTTCTAACAATAGAATAAGAAATAGGCAAAGGAGCAGGAAGCAAAGGGAAGAAGCTCTTGTGAAGCCCAATAACCAGCTGCAACCCATTTTACCTGTCCCAAAACTCTATTCCGATCTGGCCCTCAATCCTTTTTGGCTACCTAGAAAGCCTGAGCTCTGAGATTTAGGTTGGGGTCTAACGTTCTGTCAAAAGAAATCAAACCCAACCCAAATTTAGGAGCTGCGCCATTTGGAGTTTGCCTGCATATGACGCGCCTTAAGATTTCTCTCCGTATAGTATTTATGTGTGTGTTATCATATTAAAACTTGACCTACATACGGGTTCAATAACCGGTTTATCCAACTAATAAAAATCTTGCTGGATCGCCAAAAAGTTTACCAGCTTTGCAAAAAATTTGATCCTGACAAAATTCTAGTTCGCCAAAAGAGAAATTTGGTAATGGTCTTGAAGTGAGTATGGAGAGGTTCAGGCTTAAAAGATTCCTCTTTAAAATCATTACCGCTTGATGTAAGCATCTTATATTACTCAATTGAACTTGATGCCATGCTTAGAACATGACCCCATGACCCTTGTTTCCCCGTTGGTGTAAATCCAAGGGCCAAAAGCACTTTAACTCCGATTTGTTTGTGTTATGAAGTTCGGCCTCCTTATGGCTTGCTCTACTCCACTTCCAAAAACATTTCCAATAAAACTGTAGCATAAGCAAAATAAATACATAGTTTGGAAACATATTTGGGAACAAACTCAATTGTTTGTTTACGACAAAGTTCAACAAACCGTAATCGAACATTAAGCGCATGAAATGTGAGCCACATCAATTGGTTTGGCTTTTCGGAATCCAAGAAGCTAAAGAAAGAGTTTTCCTGGAAATGTTCCAAACAAAGTGACGACTTCTTTCAGTTTACCAAACAGATATTTCATTAAAGATAAATGAAACAGTTTTTATAGGTTTAAGAATAATATTTTGTAAATTTGAATAAGTCAATCGAATCAGTTTATCGAAAAGCCAGTTTCAAAACGTTGAACGTGCAACATGTTGCTGTTGCCGTGGATGCTCTTATTTATGTTTTTATTTTTATTTGTATTTTTCGTTTCTGCCAAACCGAGCATCGATACCATCCTCTGGTTTTTGTTGCCGCTGCTGGTGCTGCTGCCGCAACAAAAACTGGGTCAACTGTGAACCAATTTCAGGCAAAATTGCGACAACAGCAACATCAACATCAGCATCAGCAACCACAGCAACAGCAACAGCAGCAAAGCAGAAAACACACTGTAATAATCACAAGAGCCACGGCGAAAATAAAACGTGCCACCAGATAAAGGCAGCCAGCGCGAAAAGATGCAGAAAATAAAATGCATTTAAATTGGTCTTTGGCTAAAAGAAGCAAACGGCGAATAAGGAAAATGAAGCCAGATCTTGGATTTACATTCTCGAGCAGCGAGGGCAGAAATGGAAAAACAGAATACTTCCACTTTGAGTGCACTCTGAATCGCATAATAATTGAAAAATTTATGTTAAATGCACATAATGAAGCCTGCACTCGACAGCCATCGAGCGACCCAACAATGTTCTCATTGTAATTTAATTTACTTAATTTGCCAACACATAATTGAGACTTGTGCGAACTCGATCTCGGCATTAACCCAAAGTCTGTCAGTCAGCCGGAGTGACAAACGAATTAAAATAAATAATTGGATCCCCCCTGGACAGCTAACCTCTAGTCCGAGCCCAGAAGTAAAACACCACCCTCTTGGCTTTTTTCGAGAATTGCAACAGCTTTGGAAAATAGCAATAATTATGTTGATTTTCACAGCGTATTTGCATTATGGCCAAACTTTAATTTGGCCAAATCCAAAGGGCAGGCGGAAAACAATTGGCCAACGGATTTTAGGTTAATTGCAGTTTACCCTCTGAAAACCAAAAGGGAAACGAATTGTTATTGTAAACATTTGATGTTCCGGAAAATCTTGAAAACCACTTAATTTCACTCCACAGAATGTTTAAAATTTTTGGTTATGGCCAAAATAACATTACAAATCCATAATCTTTTTCTTTTCCTAAAGCGATAATATTTAGTAAAATTAACTCAACAGCTGCTGTCTGAGCTGAAAAACTTGTAAGTCACAATAAAAAATGCAGGATGCACCAACACCAGCACAGCGAGCGCTGTAAGCTGGTGTACGTAATCCCCTTAAGTGCAACAAAGTCCAGGGAAGTAGCAACAAAACTGCAATAACGAGCTGTCCCAACGAAAACCTGATCCTTGCGGAGAACTCGGTTCTTTTTGTAGTTGTTTTCTTCGCACTGCGAAAGTGCATGCATTTTTCTGTTATTCGAACTTTTTTGGTCATTTTTCCCTGCCAGTGTGCAACTTTTTTATGTTTTCGTGCCAGACGTAACCCAATTTTTATGGCGAAACTGCAGTTCTGACCCGTTTTTTGTTTTTTTGTTGGTCTTGGCTTAAAGAAGGGGTTGCTATCCTTCCGCTGAAGTGAGATTTAATTAACCAGATACTGCAGACTGCCAGATTCATCGAAGGGGATATCCCCTAACAAGCCGAGTGATACCCTAGTTAATCCCAGGAAGTTTCAGTTTTAGAACAAGTTTTCAAGCCTATAGGCCATCAATTAAAATGGCTAAAATGTTGAAGCTTACACTGCACTGAGAGTAAACGTATATGCATTTATATTTCATTTAATTTGCAACAAGCAGTCTAAAGTGGATTATTTATTCCAGGCCAACTCTTTATTAACCGGTTGGAAAACCTTCTCAGAGAAACATGAGTTAGAAGAAGCCAGATCTTCCCTTGGCTGGCCTCCACTTTCCCCTCCTTATTAAGACGAACTCTGCATGCAATCAGTGCAGCAAAGAAACAAAGTTGGATTTATGTAGGTACTAGTTCTGCTCAGAAATTGGGTCACCGTTGATTGAACACTCACCTTTTGGCATCAACTAAAATGCTTTTGCCCATATTGGCCAGGCCATTGGATGACGTTAGATTATCCGTACTTGGTATCGTTGTCTGTGATGTGTGCGTAAATTCTGAGGATGTTGAGCTGGAAGATGACGACGACGACGACGACGATGATGATGATGATGCAGAGGAGTCGCTGGTTGCCACTGATGTTGCTGCTGGTGCCGCATCCGATGTTGCTGGCGGGGCAGTGGTAGATGGCACTGTTGATGTTGCCGGCTCTACTTCGATTTGGAGGCGACAATCGGACACTATTTTGGCCAGATTGCGACGGCTAGCACTCACCAACGGTACCTGCTCCGTTGCCTCGTTGTCATTGTCCGATGATCCCATATCGACTGTCTCAACACTTTCCACGATCATCAAATTCATTGGCATTTTTTCGTAATGAGTTGCTGCCACTGCCGCTGCTGCCGCTTCACACTTTGCCTTTTTCGAGGCTTTCAGTTCCTCGGGTTCCTTTGGAATTTTTTGAATTTTTGCCAACTTGCGAGGAGCAACACAAGCGGCGGCAACTGCAACTGTTTCCTGTTTAGCTGGTAGTGTTGCTGGTGCTGGTGTTGTTGCTGTTGTTGCTGCCGCTGCTACTTTTAATGACTCCTCTACAACTTGTTCAGCTGCTCCTGCTGTCGAGTTTATTACCAACGAGGCTGCTGCTGTCGTCGTTGTTGCTTTTGCTGTTGAATTTATAATTGCCGGCTGTTGTTGCTGCTGCTGTTGTTGATGCTGCTGCTGTTGTTGTTGTTGCTGCTGCTGGGTTGCTAGCGCTGCGGCTCCACCTTCTGGTATGATTGTTGCAAAAATTTGTTCGCCAAATATGAAAAGATCCTTGGAAATAATCATTATCACCTTTTTGTGAACGCTTTAGCTCGCAGTTGCTGGTGTTGCCGCCACAGTTTAAATATACGTACGTGTGTATTGGGGGATTTTGAATGTAAATCTTGTTTATATATATATGTATATACGCGTTTGTATATAGCTTTCTGCTCGCCTCTTGCCTGCACTCGCCTTAAACACGTTTCCTTTATTTTAATGCATTAAACATATTTCGTGGCTGTTTGGTCTTGGGTTTTTGGGGATTTCTTTAAAATTTCATAATTCCCTGGCTCTGTCTGGCTCCTTTTTCTTTTATTTTCGATTTTTTCGCTTTTTTGGCAGACTGTAATATAGTAAAAGCAGAGAAGGTTGAGGGATAATTAATACGATTGTCAGTTTGTCATGTCTTACGAGTTAAATAAGATGTGATATAATTGCAAAAAGACAGTAAAACTGTATTAAACTCATACTTTAATCTTAATACAAATGAAATTCACTTATTATTTGGGTGTTCTATTAAAACAACACTTTTCAAAACTTTTAAGGCAAAACTTTCTATTGGAAGGTTGTCAGAAAGTTAGTGAAAAGTTAGACGGCTTGAAATGTTTTTATTTTACACTTTTGTCCAACAAAGTTAAAACTTTGTTATATGCAAAACGCCAACAAAACTTTCCTATTCTTAACTAAAGAAAAACAAATTAAACTTTGTGAAGCCATTTGAAGAAAAATTAAATTAATTTATACAATTCCCAACTACTGTTATTCACATTTCAAGTTATTAAATGCTTTTAGAAAAAATCACAATAAAGTCTGTGTAACTAGCAAGTCTGCCTACTACAAACGTTTACCACTGTAATCATATGTTCTTGATCATTGCAAGCAAAATGATTCACTTCAGTGCAATCTTCTTTCGATTCGTAAATCTATTCAGCACTTCAAATATTCCAATTCTATTTAAACTTCAGAAAATGTTTGCCTAGACTTCGCGGCGTCGCCTTAGAAATGGATTTTGGTTTGACAACTTTTCCGACGATTTCCTATATGCACTGCCGCCGAAACAGAGAGAAGATAATGAAACAGAACCGAGGAGAATCGGCGAGAAGCGGGGACGCCTGGCGAATTTTGTTATATTTGCCAATTAGCCCGCGCGAAACAAAGCGCCAGAGCAAAACGTCAGTTTTCATTTTGTGCAATTTCGTGTGTTTGAATAAAATATAAAGTAACAAAAACAACGCACCCAGAAAGCGACGGAACGTAATAAAATGCCTTTCTTCTTTTTCGAATGTGATATTAAAAATCGTCAGCACTTTTTTTGCAATTTAAATGCTTTTTCTTGTTTTATTCATTAAACATATGTACGTTTCTTGTAAACATTTTTGATAACACGCGAGTTATTTTTGGGGTGGGGGGAATTTTGGGATTTGTCAAGCCGAAACGAAAATACGGAAAGATCGAACGAATAATGGGAGAACGTAGAAACGTAAAGTTGTAACCACACGACGAACAACAGAGAGCTATTCCGCTTTTCCACACAACGCGAGTTCGGCGCGCTTGAGCATTGAAGAAAACATCCAACGGCGCCCGATTTCGAATCAAGACTGATCGCTGAGGGGACCGTTAAAGCTAAACGCTCGCGCTCCCGCTCCAAACCTCGTTGTCTCTGCCGACGTCGCTGCTCCCATGAATGACACTCGTTCTCTCTCGCTCTCCCGTTCTCACCGCCTACGATCCGCACGTGCGTATGGCGCTTGCACAGGGAGAACAGAATCTATCAACTCTCTATGTAAATCTACTTACTTCGACTTATGGATAGAACAAATATTTTAAATAAATACATTAGGAGTATACTAAACTTATAAACAATGTGCATTCAATTACTTAAGGGATTGTTTTATTTTGTTTACAAAATCAGAAATATTTTTAAAGTGTACTCTCTCTCTTTGCAGGCGCTCTATCACTCTCTTTTCATTACAAGAATGTTAAGTTACAGTGCTTACATTGTGTTACAGATGTTATGAGATTACAGCCAGATCATTTCACCTGCTGTTACCTATCAAGCCCTGTAAAATACATGTTATCGTCTTACAGTTCTTGCAGAACCCTGATAACTAACCCGTTGATAAATAACACAAATCAATAAAAGTTGGTGAGTTGGTTCGGCTGATCTTGAATTTCGACTTGACGATAGAAATTTAAGGTCTTGATTGGCAACCCAGAAGTCATTCAACAAGTTTCGAGACGTTTTTGGAGTAGCGGACGGCTTTGCGGCGATTTAATGTGTCTTGAAACCTAAGCGTTTGACTCATTTGTGAGTGGATAATGTTAATTTGCTATTCTGCTGTCCTAGAGAAATGGTCTGATAAACTATTGAAATATTAAAAGACGTTTTTAAGATACTAAAAAGAAAAACATTTATTTTGAAATTAGATTACTTTACCATGAAATTTTAGTTCAAAGCACTTGATATTCAAGGAACCCGAGTACTAAGTCTCTAGAAAATTCGCTTTAGCCCACACAGTTTATAATTTCTTTTTGATTCTGTTAGGCAAATGCCAGCTTTCCAATCTTATCAGTCATTAAACTCTCCTATGGTAAACGCTGCGTATACGCAATTTGAATGCGTATACAAACCGAGTATGTGTGCAATTCTCGAGTATAGCTGTGTGGGTGGGAAAGGAAGAGGAAAAGAGTAGGAGAGAGAGGAGATTACACTTAGAACTTGGAACGATAATAAAATAATAAAACTAGAATGTGTCAGCTGCTGGGTCGTTGACCAAATCAGATGGAAAATAACGCACAATTGCATATTAGGCCTAAATAATGATGATTTTTCAGTTTGTAGCGAAATTATTAAGTTTATTATGTTGCCATAAACTTGAAGCGAAAAAGTCGCCAACTTGACGCTTTGTTGTTGCAGTCTGTGCTCTTTTTTTGGTTTTTTCTTCGGTGCGTAGCTCTCGGCTCTCTATAAAAAATTATTTTTTCCTGTTGCTGTGTTGGTGGTTTTATTGTTGTTATTTTTTATTTATACGCACAATGTGCAAAATGTGCGAGACCCACACACACCGGCTTCAGCTCACGCACACGCACTTGCTCTTAACCTTGAAAAATAACTCTGGCAATTTTTGTTGTTCTTTGTTGGTTTCTGACAGCTTTCTTTTTGTTTTTGTTTCGGCATTTAACCGAAATTTGTTTTTGTTCTTCCGCTGATAAGATTCTTATTTTCTTTCTTCTTTCTTCTCTCAGCTTACTCTTTTTCTGAATGCGTAAGTGCGTGCTATTGGCCTTTTCTGTGAGTGTATGGGTGAGAGTACAACAAATATTGAATTTCTAGACGAATTTTATAAAGCAAATTGCCGGGGATGTGAATAATTTGTTGCTATTCCAATTTTCGTTTATTCTTGTTTTTTGCTAATATTTCTATTAATTTAGTTTCTCAGCAAATATTGATATATATCTACAAATTTTTATTAAAACTAAGGTCAAAATTATAAATATTTTTTACATTCACGAGTAAGAGAAGATATAGTATTTGTATAAAAAAGTTTCCACTGCACTTACCAAGCCATTCTGAATTTCACATTTTGTTCCTGATTTTTATGAGGTTTAATGAACTTGAACTGTTATCAGTCAGTCAGGTTGATATGGCCCAGGAGAGAGCTGTAATGCAACAAAAGAAGCCACACAAAAAAAGTCGCTGATCTTACTCATTTGGCGTCTTGTGAATTTCTTTTAGGCCTTTGAACTTGCTCGAGTTGGAAAATAAAACAGGCCAATTGGAATTGGGTCGAGGCCTTTTATTACTAACTTCCTGCTAGATTGCGTATGTTTTTGGCTTATCACAATTACAAAACTCTCTCAAAAACTATATTGAGACTTAACATAAAATATGCAATATCCTTCCTACACTTGAGTCCTTTATGAGACTAACCTTATTTTACCAAAAGTTTACATTACCACTATTTACGTGACGTACAATTCTAATTGGTCAAACAAGGTTGTAAGTCTCCAGCCTAAAAGTATGCAATTATTCTTAACTCTTAAGGTGAGTTAAAAAGCAATTCGATTTACTTTCCCTGTTTATTTGATCAGATACTCACTGAAAAATAATTTCTCAGCTGTTAGTACTTGAATCACTTTCTTATTCAGTAAATACACATTTATCACAAAACATTTCAAGGAGTTGAATATTTTCCCATCTTTTATTTAGCATCAAAAACAAGATGAGCTCCGGGCTGGGTACGCCGATAGTCTCCATTTTCGACATGATGGTGGAGCGTCACCTGAAGCTACGCCGAGAGTCGGCTTTAAAAGAAGCTACCATTTCGCGCCGAACCAGAGAAGAGCGAATAGTTGGCGAGGTAAAGAAACCAAACATTAAATCCAAACCCATCTCGCAACACACGCCGAGAAATGAATCTCCTTGTCCTGCAAACGCGATTACCGCCTCCCATTTAACCAAGAAGCAGACTTTCCTGAAGGTGTTACCGCCGTCGAAAAAAGAGGAGATCAAAAAACTGGTCGAGAAGATTTCCAAGGGTCCTGGCAGGTCTAATCCGGTGGCCCACAAAGAGCCCAAGTCAAGCAAGAAGACCAGTGCCAAGTCCTCCAAGATGGTACTGAGCCCCCATCGGAAGAAGAGGACAGGTGGCCAAACATCGTTCCGAAGCAAGCAGAAGTCCAGCTGCACTCGAATTAAGCGCTTGCCACTTTCCCCCGTAAGGGTGCAGCCTGGACAGAGGCAAGTAACCCTGCCGCCCAAATCGACAAAAAAGAACACCAAGATTTCCACATCAAATCTATCCATCGATGCTGAGGTTCTCCGCCTCAAGCGTTGGCGTTTTTAGAAGCTATAGGTGATCAGTATGGTTCGCTGTTCCTATTCCTTTTCTAATACGTAAATTGCCATCAAGTAGAGAGATTAATTCATAGTGATCCCCATGTGATGAAGCTATCAATTTCCACACGAAGGCGATCAAAATTAAAAATGTACATCAATATGGTTTCCTTTAGTTTATATAAACAGAATTCAAATTATTAAAAACTTTTGTATTCTTTGGAACCTTGAAATTATACTTAACCAGTTAATAAACATTAGGCATTTTTTGTATTTTTATTTATTTGGTTTTATAATAAATTAGAATTTTCATTACTGCAGCTTAACATTCGGTTTCTTATTCTCGTATGTTGTTTTTAAGTCTAACTTGTGACACAAATTTTAAGCCAATTTTGCTAGGGCCCAAATTAATTTGACAAGAATTAGTTTTTAGTGTGGGATTACCCAACTATTCAATTTTTGTAGCTTAGACCTAAATGTATTTGCTTAAATATTGTGTTAATTTCTGCTTCACCTCCTCACATTCAATTCGCACAAGTTGTTGCTTTCTTAAGCTTTTGTTTAATCTGCGTTTTGTTAATTTAAAATGCAACTACTACAGACTAACAATACTTGGCCATATATATGTTACATATATATAGTGTATATAGAGTATGCAATTATCGGTTTAATCCTGCCTGGCATTTTATATTGAATAGTTTAAAGTATCTGGTTTCTGATTCTTGTATTGGTATTGGTATCGGTATCGGTATCGGTATCATATGTAAACGGGCGCCAAAAAACGGGTAAGGGTAAAGAGTTAGGAGAAGTTATACAAAAGAACGATTGGTTTTACAAAAATATCGTACACAATAAGTATTTTGTATAATCGTTTTTATCAAATTCTTCTAGCCATAGACTGGCAATTATATTTTAGTTATAATTATAATTATACACTCTCCGGTTTGTCAGTTTGCCAGTTTTGCGCTTGCTCGACATGTAAATGAATTTTCTAAAACAAAAATTCAGGGCGCTCTCTCTTGACTTCTTTCGGTTTTCAAGTTTCTGTTTTTAGTTTTTGGTATGTTGTGAGATATGAAATACTTGAGGAATTGTAGATACATTTGTCTAAAGCAAAGCCAAGCAAACAGGTGCTACACATAAATGCCGTGGTAAAAACAAAACAATTGCTCTAATCTAACTAAAATGCAGCTACTTACGACATAGATTACACTGCGCTTCTCTTACGATTAAAACATAATCATAAATATATGTATAAATGACAAATTGGTTTGTGTCCTCCTTTCTCTTATGTCTGTGTTCGATCGGTTTGTGACTAAACTTATGCTGAATTTTAAATTCAATTTCAGATTTTTTGGTGGCTCTGCTCTTGGCCCAAACACACTGGGTTTGGGTACTTTGCTAGCTTGTCGAAGACAATTGGATTGGATTAATTTAACTTGCACAACATTTTGTTTAATTTAATTTACTGCTAGCGTACAATGATTTCAGCCAAAGTTCTTTCAGTCTGAAAAACAAAAGATATTTGAGTAAAACGGGTTGCTGGCCAACACAATGTTCTCCACATGAAAAGCGTTCTACACATTAGTCAAACATAAAAGGTGTTAGTTAAGAGTGAATGAGTACTTTCTACTACTGTTAAACTGTAATTGTAAATAAAAATAAGAGTTACTTACAAAAATACAAGGTTTTGACAGTGAGTTTGAGTTTGTGTGATGCCTCAGGAATCTGATTCGATAATCCTCTCTCTAAGCATTTAAATTTTGTTTGCAGATAGACCGAAATGATTTTCAATACAATCTTTGAGCTCGCTCTACGGAATACAAAACTTATCTCTAAAGAATTGCCAACTCTGGTTGAGATAGATGCTTGAAAACACAAGTTAAAGCTTGGATTTAGATACACTGATTTGTGACATTTTCCTCCTCAGCGAGTGCCAGAGAAACCGCTTCCTAAACCGAGGCAAAATAACATGCAACATTTTGGGGTTTTGTGTATTGCTAACTAAGAGATCAGTAACAAATGCCCGCTAGTACAGTGCGTTTCAAAATGTTTAGACAGTTGTATTAATCAATCAAACGAATTTAAAGAAAACGACGGAAATTTAAACTAAAACACAAAATACAAATGGTAAAACTGAAGTTTAAATGTGTTCCGACCAAAAGGGTCTTCCTTACTCTCCTCTAACTGTCGTTCACCTATGAAACGCACTGCAAGTATACATATGTGGTTGTGAGTGTTAAAGTTACAATTAGTTGACGCTTTTGCTGTTTGCCGAAGTCACTGTTCGCTGCTGTTAATCACCCTCTAATGAGATGCTTAGAATTCTGTGTGCACCGCCATCGACATCGACTCAATGCTCTGACGTAGGTGGCCGTCGTTGTAGATCTTTTCGCAGACTATGCTCACCTTTTTCAGCAGCTCGATGGCAGTTTTGAGCACCTGCTGCCACTTTTGCAGCTCGTTCTCGTGTGCCATCTCCTGGTCGCGTAGCAATTCTAGCCATTCCTGATTCGTGCTCGGTAGCTCACTGAAATGGAGACGATTATATTAGATTTGGCTAAGAATATAGATATCCAATATAGACTCACCTTAAGGCCGCCAAACTGGGCAGGCGGGCCCGCCGATTGAGATCCACGTCAATGCGTTCCTCCAGCTTCCAGAGCTTAAGTAATAATATCACATTTAATGCCAGCATCAAGAACAGCAACAGTATAACCAACAACCACAAGCCTTTGTGTCTGAGTCTGTGACCCTGTGTCCCGTGACCAGTGGCCAGGGGCTGGCCGTCGCCGCCACCCAGGTGCATCTGCTGCTGCTGGTGGTGCTGCTTGTGCGGCTGCAGGTGATGGTGGTGCGTCTGCTGATGGTGGTGTAGCTGCTGCTGCTTGCCGCCCTCGAGCAGCAGCGGATGACCCGTGGCGGCGCCGACTGTCGCCCCAGGAATGCCGCCCGTGGACAGCAACTGCGCCTCCAGGGGATCACCGGCTGGTGCCTGACCGACTGCCTCCTCCAGAGGGCGAATTATGGTGGCCGTACCTGCGGAGAAACGGGGACGAGCGTCGAGAGGAATGGCATATGGCACGGTTAGAAATCAAACCATTTGAACGAAAAAACCGAACTAAACATAAGCAAGAGTTGGTGCTGGCAACAGAATCACAACATTAAGATTACAACAAAATATAGATAACTAGTAAATAAATCAAACTGCAATAAAAAAGCAAGTAGGTTATGATTATCAAGGGCTAGCAATTGCCACATAGGCCAGAAAAATCGTTTGAAGCTTCATAAGCCGAAAAATAGCATTACCAGTAGATAAACTTTTATAAGAACGAGAAAACTTTCGAGGTGAAAATATTGTGATTAAAAATTTAACAATTGACATTTTTATAAATTCTTAAATTGAAAACCAACTGAAGCTGAAGCACCCCCGTCGAATTTCATTTATGAAATGATTATGGGATACTCTTGATGGAATATTAGTTAGCAAGAGTTTAAAGAGAACAAAACCTTATCGTAGCTTGATAAAGCAATTAATAGTAATCATTACAAGTAGGAAAAATAATTAGATTAATAAAAGGAAGCATTCCAAAGAAAGGGTAAAATTCGTGAAATTGGTTTATGATCGGCAACTTGGCTATATGAACTTGTGCTCATAAATCTTCGGCAATACCGCTTATCGAACCTAGAACTAGCTATGCAAGTAGTATATTGAACTAACTCAAATTACAAGGACTTTCTATGTTAAAATAGTCATAATAATCTTTACGTTTAGGTTTCATAACGAAAAATACCCTACTCGTAGAGGTCCTCCGATATAAGCCTAAGTTTCTCAGCGATACAGCTTCTGAAATAACAACTTTGTTGCTTTTCCTAAATCTGCCATTATTCTTGTCTGCATTTGCTTGACAGATAAGACCCGAAATAATCTACTGGCTAATGTCTTTAACTGATAAGCTGACAACATTTATAACTCCAGTTGAAGTGTGAGACTCAGATAAATCAAGACAAAAATAAAGTGAGACTAATATAAAGAACACTGGCAGTTTACAAGTGCAATCCTGATAATATGAAAATAACTACAGCTATAATCTTCATTTTAAATTTATAAACAATTCCCTGTTCCTCTGTGGCAATTGCTAGTCTAAAGGGATTCAAATACTCAAGCTGTACCTCTGCTGGAATGAAGTATAGCCTTACGATGATGCCAATGAGGATGCTGGTAATGATGGGAATGCTGAGGCTGATGGTGGTGGGAGTGCCTGGGATCGTGGTGATGATGCTGGCTACCGTGGTGATGGTGGTGATGATGATGCATGTGCAGATGCTGGTGCTGATGATGCTCGTTCTGGTGATGTGGCTGCTGATGAGGATGACGCGACTCTTGGATGCTGTCATTGTCCGTACTGGTCGCTGTGTGATGGGTAGCACCTGTGGTGTTGGTCGTGGTGGTCGATGTGGAGGTGGCGGATTGCTGATTCATGCCTGAGATTTATGTTGGTTGTAGCTGGTTGTTGCTTTTGGTTCTTAACATGTTGTTTAGTGGTGGACATGCGTGCGTTTTTGTGTGGTTAGAAGAAGCAATGGCAATTGGCATTGGCAGTTATCGAATTTGAGTTCTGATCGAGTATTTTCATTACAATATTAGAGATTAGAGAGAAATTGCTTTGCTTTGTTGCTGTATTTGTTGTTCTTGTTGTTGTGGTTGTTGCATTGTAGTTAATTGGTTATAGTGATTTAGTTCGCAATGCTTACCTCTCCTCGGCCTGCGTCCCTTTCCCTTGGCAGGCGGAATGCACGTTTCGCTTTGGAGCGCATGCAACTGGGCGCCGAAGAAGTCCTCTAGTCCCGCCCACGTGTTCTTCTCGATGAAGCCCTTAACAACGCCCCAGATCGACTTTTTGTACTTGATCTGAGTGTGAATCGAGAGCATAGTGTGATCATCGACAGTTCTGGAAAACGGAAGAAATGGCCAATTAGGAAAGTTCACTTGGAGCAAAGGCGAGTGCAGGCAGAGATGACAAAGCGACACCTATGCACCATTAATCAAGGAGCTCGTTGTCGTTGCCAGCAAGTACATGATGGATGACTCACCTGGCCAGGCAGAAGTGTATGAGCACACTGAAACTGTCCGCATATGGAATGCCTGCATTAACACTATTTACGTCTATGGAATACAGTTCGCCCGGCTTGCTACACTCCCGCTGCGTCTGGTACTCGGTTACCTAAGGGGAATCAATATATTCATTTGCCAGTTAGTTTATTTTCTCTTTGCTATTCCGAGGGCGATGCACACTCACCTTTGAGGTCTTGGGTCCCACTGAGGCGGCCAATTGAACGGTGACGTTCACAGTGCGCACTTGCAAACCCTCCTCGTTCTTGGTCCATTCGCCCAACACAAGGTCCGTTGACTTGCGCATGGCATGGAAGTCGGTTATGAATTTGGACTTGCTGAACAGAAGATTGAACAAGGTGTCCACGTTAATGGGCAGAATGGTGTGGACGATCTGGCGGCCCTCATGCGTCGAGGTGCACTCTGTGGTGGGCACAAATCTGAGAAGATAATAGTTATAATCACACAAAATCTATCTCTTGGATTTCTACGACTTACGGCAAGTTGTTCTCTTCGGAATCCGACGAGTCGGAGACATCTGTGGGCACACTCTCGGCAGCATTTTTGCCCTCTTCGCGTTGGCGATGAATTTTTCCGAGCTTGCGCTTGATTTCTAGCTTGGACTCTATTGTTGGTTGGCCCAGAAGGGGCACTGGCCAGAGATGAAGCGGCTGCTGCTGCTGCTGTGGCGGCAGAGTTTGAAGCCGTACTGACCTTCTTTTCCGCAGACTTCTTGTCGCTGCCGCTGCCACTCGGTGCAGCCGTGTTTGAACCCGATACGGAACCTGATCCGGAACCAGAGCCCGTGTGATTGGCGATGGTGGAGGAGGAGGCTGTGGTGGAGCCAGCGGTGCTGCTACTACTGGCACTAGGAGCGTTCATAGTGACGCTCACCGAAAGCTCTGTCGGCTTTACAGAGCTAAGGGTCAACTCCTTGGCATTCTGCTTCATCTTCTTGTTTAGTTTGCGAGTGCTCTCTCTGGTCTTGTTGTTATCCGAGCCGCTGGCCGAGGCGTTGGCCGAGGATTTGGAGGAGTTGAAGAAGTATTTCGTCTTGGACTTGCGTGGGGCAGAGGCTCGGACGCCGCCACCGCTGCTGGCGCTACTGTTTCCGCTCTGTGGAAGCTGGGGATTTGACTGGTTGGATTGATTCGACTGTTGCGACTGACGCTGCGATTGGCTATCGTCATCGATGGCCGTCTGGAAGTCAAAGTCCGTCTCGTTGTCGTTGTCCAGCGTGGGATCAATGTAGTCCTCGTCGTCGGTGGTCAGGCCCAGCTCTTCACCGTAGCAGGTATGCACATGCTTCCAAATCTCCTGAGGCGAAAACTGCTTGTTCATCAGCGTGTTCTGCCAGACGCGGAAGAGCATCAAAAAGCTCTTGTCGCGGGAGGTGAACGTGGCAAAGAAGTACTTGTCCTTGCCGCTGGATATCGAAATGGCATTGGGTATGACCAGGGCTGTTTTCTCCTTGGTTATGGCCGTCACATCCTTCCACTTGATGCTCAAGTATGTCTCCCAGCTGAAGATGTTCGCGTGGAAGCAGACGTAGTTCTGTGACACATACAGACGGCCCTGGACCAGAATGTCGCGTTGCAGGGCACACGAGTAGTCTGCGGAAGAAGATAATCGCTTGAGTTAATTGCTCCAATTAGGCTTTATTTCATTAAACGGAATTCATTCATGACTAAACTTCTTAATTCATTTATCTGGGATTGTTGATTTCACTCTTTTATGATGTACAATTAGCTAATCAATGGATCATTATCAGAATAACCAAAACATAACATTATGTAGCCTGCATCATATCAAAAATGAATAAAATTCATATCACAAACAGTCATATTTAATTGCTCATTATTTCCCGAATGGTTTCGCTGCACTATCCAGGAAGTAATGAGCAGACATATTCGTGAATCATACGAATTAAGAAGTTTTTTATTGGATACCCATTAACAAATTATATTTATCAGATTATTGAGACTCACCCACAATCAGGCGCTCATCGTTGGGCACGTCCTTGAAGAGCTTCTTGAAGTCCTCGGCCCGCGACTTGTAGTTCGGATAGATGACGTTGTACCAGGACTTCTTTTTGGCCCGCTCCGAGAGCCGCGATGGCTTGGCAGCCTTCTCGTTGGACGTGGAGCTGCTACTGGTCACCTGTGGCTCCCGGTCAACGCGCAGCAAGCTGAGCTCGTGCTGGGTGAGATCGCTCAGCCGGTGGTGCGAGATGTCCTGCTGGGAGACAAGTGAGAGGGAGAGCTGATCAAATACCATGAGGATTTCCATTTATTACGGTCTGCGGTGGCGTGTGAAAACATTTTAGCTCTAAATGGGTCTCACCAGGCACTTTGATATCGGTTGCCTTTGGCTTTTTGGCCACCTGTTCGAGCCAACACACTCTGTTTGTTAACTCTTTTTTCGGGTGATTCACGCCCGTTCGTAGGAAAGTCTCTTCGGCCAGGTGTTTGGGTTTACTTCTTATCACCCCACACGCTTGTCGTTCGTTTACGACCCCCAATTATTTACACAAAGTTCGCTGCAATGCTCGTTATTAGTTTGAGTTTTTTTCACTTTTTTTTTGTTATTCCCATTTGGTTGCTGAGACGCTTCGTCGCTTATTGAACTCTAATTTGCCATTGCTATTGCCAGCCGGGCGAACGTCAATGGAGGAGCTCTGTCCCACACGAAACGTTATCTTGGCTCGGTTGCCGGAAAAAGCTTGGGCCCAAAATATTTATGTCGCGAGCTTTCTCATCGAAGGGTGATTCTAATCGACTGCCCCTGGCGAGAGGGTAACAACAATTATAAATATCACATATGCTTCTTATCAGCCAGAGATTAGATTGAGCTGTTAGATGGCCAATATGTGGCTATTAATCCGAATGGCCCATGTCTATCTGTCGGCCCAACTAGCTATCTATCCAGCTTTCTATCTGTCAATCGGCTGATCGATTGATCGCCCGCTTGAGTGTATTTAATTTGATTTGAGCACTTAGCTGCGCCAATTTCACACCTTTTTCGGGGTGTGTGTTGTGCCTAATGGTTAACATCAACAAATTGTGAGTTTTGAAAGCTTGCCAAGCTTTGCCTCACAACTGAAATAGTAACGGAAATAGTTTGTGTTTCACGGCTAGCCCTTCCTATTTCCACAGATATAAAAACGGGTTTCGAATTCATTAATTTGAACTTGAAAATATTCGGTTGAAGAAACATTTTAAGAGCATGTTGCTGGTGTCGACGATGAACAATTAGTTAATCGTAAAAACAAGCAATCAATGGGTACTTCTGAGGTTATCAATTCGAAAGCATGAACTTCTTTAGTGTTTATTCCTTCTCAAGAAACCCTCACATTTAAATAAAAACTAGTGCTAATCGGGCTTCTAAATGTTGTACACATTGTATGGAAGCTTTTAAAAATAGTCTTATCAGTTGTCAATCTGTAAATATATATTCAGAAGTCACTCCCTGCTTCGTCCGAACCTTCTTTGTGAGGCCTAGCCCAAACCACTTCGTTTCTGAACCCATAAAAAGGGGTTAGTACGAGGCCATTTAATTACCTTAAGTGACATAATTATTTAAATATAAAATTACAAAATAAGCCTAAAATCTAGCAAATAGAGAACCTAATTGGAAACGACATTGGCTACACATATTTTGGATTATCATGCTCACGGCTAACAAAACGTAATTTCGTCAGCAGAAAACCCGTTTTTGGTTTCTAGCAATATGTTCTGGAAATATTACGACATATTTAGAAGTATTATTTGCTATAGCCTGATTCCCATTCTAAGTTTATATACGATTTATAAGGTCTTCTTGTAAGTAATTCCCTGGTCTCCAGCCTGATCCCCTCTGCTGGCATTAGCGACTCACCTCATCCCGACCGCTGCTGGATGTGGATAGCTTCGCTTGGCTGGCCTTGCCCTTGGAGCTTGTAGAGCTCTTTCGGCTGCTGGGACTGTCCGTGGAGCAGCCCGGAGCAGTGAATCCGTTGGAATCGATGCTCTGCGACTGCTGTGTCTGATCTCGACTCGACGGCTCACTAGACACAATATTTATGCTGGGCGTGGCTCCTGGCACGGATGTATTGCCAGAACTCGAACTGCAACCAGGACTAGTGGAAGTGGCGGCCTGGGTTAAGCTGAGGTTGCTGCCGGTGGAGTCATTGGCACCTGGAGCTGCACCAGCTGGTGGCGATCCGCCGGCTGCTGTGGAAGCGTTCTGTTTGGAGGACGTCGATATGGAGACGCTGCTGTGCTCTAAGCTGCCTGCAGCTTCCTGAATGGTCAGGAGTTTGGTGCTCAAGCTGCTGTTGGTGGTGCTCGTTATCGTGATCTCCTCGGTGATCGAATCGCGCCTGTAAAGGAAAGGGGAGGAAAATAAGCTGGGATTCAAGTGGATAATCAGTCTACAGCTACTTCGATTAAATGGAAAAACTCTTGAACTAGGCATGCAAATTTGGAATTGGGTATGATTAATTCTCTTACGGAATTGGACCAACGCCTGGCTGGAGAGTTTCCGGAGCATGGATCCCACCTACCTGTCGCCACCATTGCTACCAGCCGCATCCGCCTGCTTCTCCTCCTCCGGCTGCGTTTGCTGCTGGGGATTGGGATGCTCGGGGCTATCCTGTGCCTGCTGGCACTGTGACGGCGATTGTGACTGGAACTGGGACTGTGTCTGTGACTGTGACTGGAGCTGATCGGGCTGGGTGGTCTCGGGAATCATGTTGGCATTGGCAGGGGGCTTACTACTGCTCGAACTTTCGGCAGTCGAAGCGGTTATGTTTACACTTGATGTTGTTGGGTTGTTTATTTCACTATCTTTAATCCTACAATAAAATGCATATATAAACAAATCAAAAAAACAAATGTCAAATCAAAACGCATGCCCAAGACGATGCCACGACAGGAGCAACTAAATAAGTCTGATACATCAAAAAACCAGGGAACAGGAAAGTTGGGAAGGATACTTCTGGAAATACAAGTCTACTGATCTACTAAGTCACCATATCAAATTGGATCAACAACGGAGGCCTGATCAATTTAAAAGTTTCCCACAGCAATTGAGGACGATGAAACCCAAAACTATTCCAGAGCACCAATTTACACTTTATCGGAATATGAATTGTTATTGTTGTGGAATTAAGTCTAATAAGGGAAGTGTACATGTATAAGATATATAAAGATAAACCCGTTCTAAGACCATTAAACCTCTTTAAATGCTTAAATCATTGCTACCACATTGCAATTTATTAAAGAAATTAGTTCCGAGTAAATCAGATAAAGAAACGACAACAGGTGGATCCACTTCAGTTGAGCACCTTTTATAGGCGACCACATAATTAATTATTTTAAGTTGATAAAGGTTAATTTTTGGTTTAAAAGTAACAAAAGTACCAAGAAATGGTGCATGAATATTGAAAAGAATAATGAAGAAAGTTAAAACATAAAAATTACCACTTAATAACTTTTCTGGGACTCAAATATATTTCCTTGTAAAAGAATAACAATCCAAGAAAACCGTCACATAATCACTAATCCACTGAGAATCATCACAGTAACTTTTCAATTTAACAAACAGCTCATTAAGAACTCGATGGGATATCAAATGTTTATATACTGCTGCAATTATAAAGCATTTTGAAGAGTTTAACGACTAATCCGGCCAGTGCTTCTGGCAATTAACAAAGAACCATTAATGTTTCCGCAGCACAATCTATTCGATTAGTCACCGCCCTCGATAAGGGAGCCCCGAATGGCCGAATGGGAGGTCCTATCAACAACTGTCAATTGGGTTGTTAAGAAGACATTGTGGCCTTAACTGATCGGTGGCTTAAGTAATTTCCCTCGAAACTAATTTAATTGCTTGGCCCGTTGATAGCACACAAATAGATCGCCTTTGGGGAGTGCTGGGATCTGTCCATACCAGAGAACCTTGTGCTTCCGACTTTTTCGCAACGTTCGCCGCAACATTTTTGACGCGTTTTTACTTCTATATATATATTATTTTCAATTAGACGTGCTCTCGCCTCAGTGGGCTGCGACGGAATGGTGTACCAATTGCCATTAAACGATTGTAATCAATTCTATTGTGCACTACTCTTCTACGCGGTGTGGGCGTGTATGTGTTCTGCTGTGCCACACAATTGTTATTCTTTCCTTAATACATATACATATATATATAGCTTCATATGCGTATACTGTTTAGCACTGATAAGAACGATAAGATACTCCTAGCTTTGAGCTTTGGCAGAGCGATTAATGGTCAGGGTAAGGCACTGCTTGTGTGTATTTGTTCAAACAATAAAGGCTAAAACGATTTAACCCAGTTCCTACAATCTTTGTTGAGCCACAAAGCAGTTCACCCTGTGAATTCCGCTAATTCCTGCACTATTTTTACCGAAACATCTGCTTATTAAAGAGCTACTGCACTTAGTAAGTGTTGCATATGCAAATCGAGCCATGACACAATCAGCTTTAATGATTTTTAAAGCTCTTTAAGTTCCCAAGTACTCGGAATGAAGTCGTAATGCAACTGTACACTAGTAATAAAGATAATCGGTCTTATCAAAACGTCTTACATCAAGGACAATAAGGTCTTTGTGCCTGGTAAATATATATTTACTAGTAACAGAAGTCTCAATAAATATAAGCTCGTGTTTCCGCTGCTCTCACTCATAGTTTATATAGAGAACGACCCTCGAGGGACTCCACTAGACCACTCTTATCACAAAGTTCAGTTCAAGTTCATGGCAACACTCACATTCGCTGGGATGGAGAGCACTCGGATCTCTGAATCGGGTAAACAAATATGAGTGCAGCGGACACCATTTAACGACGATTCGCCCTCATTAAACGAGTACGTATTCATAATTGCCAAGAGTCAGCTTGAATGTGTGAAAGATCAGAGATAATGTAATGGATTATAATGTGCATATATAGAGTTTATATCATGTGATTAACGGGAGTTCGGGTATGTGAATCAACCAAACCACAAAGCACTTTGTTTACCCCGTGCTTTTCATATTTTAATAATGAAATTTCAAATTAAAATGTTATCAAAACTACGATAGCAAGATTACTCATTACTCAAATACATTGCAAAATTCCAGAATTCCAGTTCAAAATGAAATTTTGGTAAGCCCCGGAAACAATTTGTAACAACATAGCATCGTAATTGACGCGGTACTTGTTTCCTGGGAAATGTCTGCGAAATTGGGAAACATGCGAGATAAAATACTCGTGGTACAAGGCTATTTATAGTTTCAACAAACGTCATTTTATCCCATTAAGATAGATAATTTACTAGGAAGGTTTTAGGGGCGGACCGTTCTGGTTGGAAAACAAAAATAGGTTTATTTATAGTTGAAGCAAAACAGACAATAAATTCTTGAATTAAAAACAATGATTTCCAGGAATTTTTGGTGACTAAATGTCGTTGTTTTCAAAATTGTGTGAGTATAACTTTTACCTCTCCTTTGTTTCAACGAATACGAGAATGTGATTATAATTTTATGAAAGGCTCATTGCATGCGGATTTATCAATGGGAAATATCATTCTGAATTCTAAGCAATTACTGATATACTGTGTGCCAATTATTTGTACAGACTGCAAGTTATCATTACGAAAGGAAATTGCACCGGCTGGGAGCTTGAATAATAGATATTTCTCCCCCTTGAACTTTGGCCTTCGGGGTCACCTCGGGGCTCTCCATTAGTCATGGAAGCCGGACTTCGAATGCATTTCCGACATGAAAGGCCACTGGCCATTAAACTACTTGGCGTATTAGCTTAGGCCAAGAAAACTACTTCACCTAGAGTTCGTAATTGCTATATTACCAACAATCGAGACTTCTGAGCCACTTAAACCCGAAGAAAAATCAATAGTGAAGAGCGAAAAAGTATTACATTTTCTTTCGCTTGGCTTTCTTCGGTTCCACATTCAGTGTTTTCCTCGGCGGCTTCTTTATTTCCTCCTTCGGCATTGGTTAGCTGTTTGTATTGTTGGTATTGTCCAACCGAAATCTATGTCATCGTTGAAAAACAGCCGAAAAAAGTGGCCAACAGTGGCCAAGTCTGGTCTTTGCCAGCGCGAAAAAGTGATGACGAAACGTAAACACAGCAAAAATTATTCGTATTTTTAGCACTGCTCGGCAAAATGTCATTAATTTATGAACTATCCCACACAGTTTTGCCGTTAATTATTTAATTAATTTTCCGTGTTCAGTGTCGCCGTTTTGTTATTCTGTTTGTTGTTTTTCTCTTTGTTGATTGTCATTTGTTTGTTTGTTTGTTGTTTAAGGCACGCGATGGCGAGATATAGGAATTCTAGAAGCGAGAATAGAGAACTGAGTATCGAAAAGTGGGAGCTCGTGCCGGGCACGTCATCCCAGCTCGACGTTCCGATTTGCACTCGAGAGCAACCGCCGAGAGAATAATGGCAATCCCCCTGCTTTTGGTTTTGTTTTTGCTCGGGGTTGGAAAATCGGGCCCACAGATAGGAGACCTTTGCATACGCTAGCCGTATTATTTACGGGTCTATTTGCACACCATATAGCTCCCTAAAAGCCAAACAAACTTCCTATGCAAATGCATATTTAGAGTGGATAACCTCCTCCGGGGAATTCCAACTACAAATACCAGCCAAGGCTAATCGAAAATGCTTTTTTTTGGGTTACGTGGAAAACGCTTGAGTGCACAAAACACAAATTGTGTATATTGGTCGGTATGTATAAATACAGTAGGTGGGCGAGAAAATAAAGCGTTTCCAAGAGTTTTAAAGCGTGGAAATCCTTGAGAATTGGTCAATTACTGATTCAAAGGGAGTTATAAATGAGATATAAAAGAGACCACTAAATGAAAACTAGTTAAAATCCTATTTTCTGTTGTAGCTGCACTAGTACGCCAGAAATTTGCCTAAGTATGCGAACTTTGCCCAAGCGCTAGTAAACAAAATTGTGAATGAATTTGGTTAGTAATGACTTTTTGTTAGTTGCATACGGAACTAAACTAAATTTATTGCCCTCTACAATTGCTTTAGGGTATCGGTATATTTCTTTTTATTTTCTTCCTAACATATTATTCTGTGAAGTCGATAAACTTTAAGAATGCCAAAAACTTCCACTTGCTTTTTAAATATTGTTATTGTTTATTTTGTTATCTTTTAATTTATTCTCCTATATTTTCCATATTTTGAGTTCATTCTCTAAATTAACTGATAACCAGCACAGTTCGAAGATAAACTGACTTACTGTAGGCCAATCTGTGCTAGACTGCCACAAAATCGATATCCTACAGCGCCTTACAGCAACGAAACGCAATGTTCTGTTCCTTGCTGTGAGGCAACTGTTGCGCAATAAACGCAAATGCTATCAAAATGCGACAAGCAAGAGGTGTGGGGGAATTAGAATGGGGCAACCCGCATTATCACAGATTTGGGAAGGGGTTAACGGGTAGATAAGCCAAACTGAAAGGTAGAAAGAGGGCTTATAAAAGACATGCAATATGACTAGCAACGGGTTAAACATGCAAACCAACGGGCAATCCTACACCACGCATTAACACTCTTAGCTCTTAGGTTTCTTTTACACGGAAAGAAACGAGATCAAAGATGGGTCGGAATGCTTCAAAAGTTTCTTGGAATGCAATCTGAACTTGAACATAAAAGCTTTACTTTCACTTATATTTGAAAAATGTTGATATATACATCTATAAACAAAATGTTAAATTTAAACCTAAAATGAATCACTTCTGGTAGACTTCGTCAGCTAATTTCTTTCCGTGTAAAAGCATAAAACGTTATATGTTGGGTTAGTATATTGGATAGTGGGCCTACGGGGGCGTGGCAACTCACATAGGCGTCGCATTTAGGCTGGCGGTGCGTTTGTGTTTGCTCTGCGAGGCCGAAGGACGATGGAAGAAGCTGTGGGCGGTGGCCAAGGACTTGGGAAGAGCACCCTGGCTGGATGACTTGCGCAGGGCCACAAAGCGGGAGGAAGATCCTAGTCCCGATCCTGATCCAGATCCAGATCCGGAACACGAGGAACTGGAGGCCAGCGAGGAACTCGACGAGGAGGTGGAGGACTTGTGGTGCTGCTGTTGTGCCCGCTGCTGTGTGACAAAATGCATGACAACACGGCACACTCGGCCGCTTCTATTTCCTTGCCCTGTACCGTTTGATATTCCTGAGTTTTATTTATCGAATCACTCCCATTTATTTGTTTATTCCATCTATTTCTTTTATGTGGCACTTGCTGACGTCTGCGGAAGTTGCTTTTTATACGGGTTTCAGGCTCAAATAACTAACAAATATCACTGCCACGTTGCGTTTTCCACGGGTTTTAAGTTTATGCACTGTTAAATGCTGTTTTTTGTTTACTTGAGAATGAGATTCATGTGTAAATTCAGGCGTTTCGTCTGCTTAGCGAGCGAATTCTCCACTTTTTTGCGCATAAAAAGTATATATGTCGCGACCAGGGTTGCTAGGTGTGCCAAAAGCCAGACGCCGCTCTAGAAACCCAGGTGATTTTAGCCCGCTTGGCTATCTAAATACAGATATATTTCTTACTTATTGGATCCTTTAGTTTATTAAATTCCCCTTTCTTCTTTTCAGTGAATAAAATGTGTATATAAATTATGCGTAATGGCCGGCACCATGGCAACCCGAAAACTACCGATATCCGATAGGCTTGACATCCCAGCCAACAGCTGTTTGGAACTGCCAACTCAGCACACTGAAACATCTGTTTTGGTCACACTGAAATTCAAATTTAAATTTAAACAACTTTATTTCATATAATATCACAAGCAAATTAGAATACAAAACACTTGATTTGTTCACAACAAAGTTTGCTCCTCTTGGCGGGAGAGAGACAGCATAAGGGCTATTGAAGGCGCTGGAATGATAACAAAATATTGTTAATAAGAAATAAAGAAAAAAATTTTAACATGCTCTAAATATAAACTAAAGTTTCTAAAAATTATATTCTTAATAATACTCAAGGTAGAAAACCGTTTGGTGTCAGTACAATGCTTGAATTGCCGCTCTTCAGAAGTCCCCGGATCAGCGCTAAATCATCGGGCGTTAGGGACCAGCCAGTTAGTTGACCCACGGACTGCAATTCCGGGCAACTGTCCATTAGTAACTAGAAACATATTCACAAAGATTAATTATTATACAAAAAGAAAGTATATTTTCTAGATATATACCTCCACGGACTGAACTGTAAGCTCTGGCGCCAAAGTAAACCACACGTCTTCCAGAACTTTAAAGTCATGCTGCATAAACATGCTGAAGAAAATACGTTTTTAAAAGGAATACTATGCAGGTGAAATTCACATTCTTCTACCTCATTATGTCCTCATCTGTAAAATCCACCGTGTCCACAGCCAATCTCTTGAGATCCGTGGAATTGCAGAGGAAGGCCTTCAAAGAACTGGTCATAATAGTGCTACTTAGGATCTCCAGACCCTCCAGCTGCTGGAACTTGGCGTGTCCTTGCCCATATGACAGACTATCAATCATATAGCAGTCGAGATCGATTAGCGAGGGGCAGAGACGAGCTAACTTTCCTAGTTCCAGGTTTCCCAAACCCTTTATCATCGTAAGATGTCGCAGGTTTCTGCCAATTGGTCTCTCCAGTAAGGGAAGTAACTCGGCCACCACGAATTTATAGATCTTCAGTTTCCGTAAATTCCGAGTGTGAAGAGCTCTCAAGCTTCCTGTCTTGGGCGAGTCCAAGTAAAGGGTCTCCAGCTTTGGACACATTTGCATGATCACCTGCAAGGTGGCTTCATCCGTGCCCGTGTCGTGGATGTATTTCAGGCGGCACTTAAATCGATCGTCGATATTATCGTAGATGAACTTTAGGGAAGCTCCGACGAAGGAGTAAGTCGAGAGGGTCTCCACTTGGGGACAGTGTTCTAGGATCAAGGCAATGTCCGAGTAGCATATATTCTCCTCTCCCGGCATTCCCACATCGACAACGGTCAGCGATTGTGAACAAACTCCTTTAGCCAGGAAATCTATCCCGATTTCTGTAATGTCTGTTTCGCCGGAGATGTCCAGGATCTGCAGGCGTGTGCAGCACTTTCCGATCTCCTCCAGCAACCTATCATTGGCAATATAGGGAACGTATAACTTAACCAGCTGATTGCACTTCCTGACTATGTCGTACATATAGTGCATGTGCTCCTCCTTCACCCAGATGCCCTTTATATTCAGAACCCGTAGTCCTGCTCCTTGAGCTGCAATCACCTAGAATGTGGAATCCATCAGAAAACCTCCAAAAACCTTAACACACCTTAATTACCTGTAGAATTTTCTCGTAGTAGCTAAAGGGAAATACTTCGGTCATCAGAAAAGTGACCCCGCAGTTTAGCAGCATCTGCAGGCAGGTGAAGCGCATGTTAGCATCCAGGTAATCCGAGCTCAGGATCACCCTGAGCAGGTCCTGGTATATATTCGGGGTGGCACCCAACTGGGCCAGGTACTCGTTTAGCTCCACCATAACGATGTTGATGTCCAGATGGACATCCGGAGCGTATTGCACATAGCTAATGGTAGAAACTAGCAGGTTGGCCAGTTCCGCCAAAGCACTGTCGCTCAGAGATCGCACACTGCACTTTTTCGACATGTCTCTGTTTTGGTTTTTGCTAATAAGTAAACAAAGTGCGACGCAGATACCGCTCGGAGAAGAGAATAGGAGAGTAGGATTTAAGTTCCTCGTGGTTACATCACTTGGAGAATAGTAAAATATTGTCTATTTCTCGGTTAACTATTGCAGTTTTCCCAACGTTTCTTGGTAACTTGTTTGAAATTTCAGCTTTAGGTGCTGATGTGTATATGCGACTATTTTATATTTATAAACAGAAATAGATTCTAAAATTATATATGCGATGGAAATCGTTTTTGCACGTCGCGGTCAACGAACGAACCAAACGAGCCAAAAGCGCGAAGTGAACTGAGAGCCATGGGACGCCAAAAACATTGTTTCCCTCACTTTGATATGCTCACAGCTGCGACAGGTTTGAGGGTTTTCAAAATGAACCGTTGCTCTCTAAAAATACTATAATAACAATTAAATTTACTATGGTATTAGAAATTATAAAATTAAAGAGTTTATTTTCCATATAACCTGGGACATTAGGCCCTAACTTGCACAAGTCTATTACTTTTTGACCTCAATGAAAAACAGAAAATGATATAGTTTCATAAAACTGATAATAGTTCATATTTTTTGCTATTAAGCCAGCCACATAATCTTATGTATATATGGTCTAAGCGTTATTATAAGTTAAGCAATATTTTAAATCAATATCGAAATCCGATTCAGGAATGAATTTGATCGTTTTTTAGAAGCTTGAAAATCAAACTGGAAATTCTTCGGATAATGATTGATTTTAGAGATTTTCGACTTTAAGATAACACTAAGAGAGCATTGATCCGTTCTTAGTAGAGATTCTAGGGCTGCAAGTAACTGGGCAGCTTCATGCGCATAAAGAGCCATGTAGTAAAGAAGGAGACCAGAATGAAAATGAATCCCATGGCGGTCAGCAGCAGGCGATTGAGGTTCGTCTTTCCCGGCGAGTGGGTTTGGTCCATGATAATAAATCCCAGACCACCGATGGTGAACAGGAAGCTGCTGGCTAGACCTTCCATGATGTATTGGCCATTGACACGGTAAGGCATGAAGGCCACAGGACGAGAATGTCCGTGCTCATCCACAGTGGCTCCCACACTTGGCGGCTCCACGATAACGTCGTATATAATGCCTGTGAATAAACAGTAAAATAATAAGTTTATCTTTTAAATTAATTAAAAATATAAACTCACCGCCAGTCACCAGAAAATAGGAAAACAAAATAACACTGAAGACAGCCATTGGCGAAGGCATTGGAATGCTAAATCTTCGTACTTTGATGTTTGGCGGCACCAGGATGTGAAAGGGTAGGTTATAGAGTGCCTCAATCATGATTTTTAAATGTTTTAATTCCTATTTATATTGAAAGATTTCTTTTTCGTGATTTTCGTGGCGATGTCGCAAAAGTTTGCCGGCGTAGGCGGAGATTGTTGTTATCTATCGGATAGCGGTGGACAGTTGGCCAATTATACGATGAATCGTTTTTAAATAGTTCATTTCCACCAGACATTTTCTATCGCGTTACATCTGTCTTGTCATTCACATGCCCAGACAGATCTTTATGTAAATTATAACTTATTATTTATCCTAATGTTCTTGAAGTATCAATATTGCACATTGTAAACGCTGTAAGACCGGCAATACCTTGACGGCATACGTAAACGGTCATACTTAGTGATGTCACGATTGTAGTCATCTTCTTCCAACTGCATAAGGGAAGAAGAAGATGTCCCCTAAATAACAAACAAAACGTAACTCCCGAACAAAATAACTTTAAATTGCATTGAAACAACATTTTTACGAGGATGGCAGATGCCAATATCCAAGGAGCAGGTGCGCTTAATAAATCCCGAAGCTTATCAAACGAATTTAATCAATTTTATAACAGGTAAACTGCCGGTAATAACGAAGAGGGTGCAAAACTTAGGGGACATGGGAATTTGGCAAAGATCTCGCGCCTACCACGATTTGATAGGCTATATAAACGGCACCAGTTCGGCGATTCAGGGGATTAAAACCACTGACGAGATGTTCGAGTCGGAAATGATAAAAAATCTATTGCGTCTATTCGATTTCCTCGAGAAGTTGGTAGAGCAACATCCACCGTTGGAGCAACCTCAGCGGTTTGGGAACAAAGCTTACAGAGACTGGGCTCAGGAAATGCGGGAACAGTTGCCGGAACTCTTAGAGCAGCTGTTGCCCGCAGCCAAAAAAAGGTACCAGAGCGAACTGGAACAGTACCTAATGGAGGCCTTCGGCAATGCCACTAGGATCGACTACGGAACCGGACACGAACTGTCCTTCCTGTTCTTCCTATGCTCCCTCTTCAAGGCGGAGATCCTGCAGGAACAGGACATCGTCAGTGCCGCCCTGAGGCTCTTTAATCGTTACTTGGAGTTCGTTAGGCAGCTCCAGCGCACGTACAATATGGAACCGGCTGGGAGTCAAGGAGTCTGGTCCCTAGACGACTTTCAATTCGTGCCCTTCATTTGGGGCAGCGCACAGCTAGCAGGTGAGTTTTATAATACTATTACCTAATATAACCTCCTAAATGTGTTCCTTTTAGTCAAAAGTCCCTTTGATCCTTCAAAATTCGTGGACGAGCAGATTATCAACGACTTCAAGGATCAGTTTATGTTCATCAGCTGCATCGACTACATCTGCAAAGTCAAAACTGGACACTTTGGCGAGCACTCCAATCAGCTGTGGAGCATCACGGATGTACCCTCATGGGTTAAGATCAACGCCGGTCTAGTTAAAATGTACCAGAAGGAGGTGAGGTTTATATATTTGGTTTACACTTCTAGTTTCACTCTTTCTTATCAACACACAGATACTTTCCAAGTTTCCGGTGATTCAGCACGTCTACTTCGGGGAACTGATGGCTTTCGAGGCGGTGTCCCCCGGCACAACGCTCTCCAACGCCCGCCTTGGTCATGTGGCCCCGCCGCCCTCCAAACGCATCTGCATTGGAACTTCGAATTTGGTGCCCCCGGTTCCAGTATCCGTGGCTCAACCCCCGCCCGTCGAATCTCTGAGCAGCGATCTTAATGTTGGCGATTCAAGTAGTGAGAGCAGCGACAGCAGTGTTGTACTACGTCCATCGACATCGTCGGTCTCTCTAGTGGCGGCTGCTGAAGGTTCAGGGGATAAGCCCAGCATTCCGGCCGAGGGCGAAGCCACCAAGAAAGAAGCTGCAGAGTAGTGGAGAAGGGCATTGATCTAACCTGCGTTACAAATTTCTTATTAATAGTGTTGACCCTTGGTCCAGTAAAAATTGTTTACACGAGTAAAAATTACTTTGCTTCCCTGGTTCTAAGGCGGGATCTACGAGGTACATATATAACTATTTAATTCCGAACTATAAATCTTGTATTTGCTACTAACAAAGTAGTCTGAGCTTTAAAATATCTTCTGGCGAGTAAATTCACTCCATTTAATCCTAATTTTTCATCCCCAAATTACCAAAACAAAAATGTAAATCTTAAGCCGACTTTGATGGTAACAAATGTACCACCAAATGTACCGGATACAGGCAGAAAAAACAAATCTGGGACGGAAGGAAAAGAAAAAAGAAAACAAAATCAATATGGCAAATGAGGCATGCAAATAGATGAACTTATAGTACATCAACTTATGCGGAGAGAACAGCTTAAAATAGGAGGAAATTATAACAAAAAGTAGAGGGAGGGGAAGAGTGGGAAAATGTAAAACAAAAAAACTTTTGTGGGGAGTCCTCCTGAAAGCATAATCATTTATTTTCGACACATCATTTATCAAACTGTGCGGCAGAAGCCAGCTTGCCACGCCTCCTCATTTCGTCACTTAAAAACTTCCTCCGGTATAGTTTTTTTATTTTTCTTATTTTTAGAGAAAAGTGGGTAGGCAGCGCATGCATTAAAACTTTGCCGACGCATTTTGATTGAAGACTTGGAAAAACATGAAAATGTTTGCTTTTCCTCCTTTGTTTCGGTGCAAAAAGTAGCAAAGAGCGACCAACTTCGGTCATGTTCATCAATTTGACCCGGCCCGCACTCCTGTTTTCTGAAATGAGACCGCTCTGGTTCTGGGGTTCAGTTTCAGTTTCAGTTTCAGTTTCGGTGTCGAAGTCGGTTTTGTGTTTTTGCAAATTGAATGAAATTTGCGGGAGAGCTGTCAGCAGGCGTTCGAACAAGGTCCAGAACATGATTGAAGGCCGGTGCTGTGATGGAGAGGGTTTTGGGGTGGACCTCTCAACTTGGTCGGCTGTAAAATGTGGCTGGCAGGGGACTGACAAGGTTCAAACCGAGATTTCGGTGTCTGTGACCTTTGTTACCTTGACCATTAAACTTCGGAATTCCGGGAAATCGGGGATAAATTTGAAATTAAATACGGATTTATTGTTACACAGTTAATGGACTGGAAGATATAAGAATGCTTCGTACTGACAAAAGTGTGCCTTGGGATATTTCAGATTTTATTCTTAGAAAGAATTTAATAAGAGTTTGAATTTTTTGAAACTTTTCGATCTGCAAAGGTAATATCTTGATATCCCGCTAATGACCTTGTGGTCATGCGCCCAGTTTTGTTTGGCCAACTTCCTGCAACTAATTACGTATAAAGCTCATACCCATCTTGACTTCTTGCAAAGAATTTTGCAAAGTTTAAGATTTGCCCAGTAAGTCGAGAAAAGGCAGTCGAAGCTTCGCAGGACTAAGCGGAAGTGGCTCTCAAACTGCAGCCAATACACATAACTGGCACAAAGTTGTCCCTGAAACTTGGAGTTTTTCGAACGGAAACTAAAATCTAGGATGGAGCAACTTTGACGTGTGGCGGGTGAAAATTAGTTATTGTCTATAGCAAAAAGTCCCGAAAACACTTTGAAAATATTTTTATATATTTATCAAAACAAAATTAGGTTTTATTTTAAGTTAAGTTTAATTTCGAAACAAACATTTTAGTTACGTTATTTGTTATATTTCTACTTATATAATAAAGGAAATTTATATTTAAATGTATCTTTATTTTTTCCAGTGCACTAAAATGGGCGGAAAGAATTCTTTGTTGCACTACCTCAATGAGGTAAACTTAGTTCTTGATCAAGTTTCGTGTTTTCTTGGCCAGAAGTCGACCGGTCGGAGGCTAGGTTCAAGTTTGCAACTTTGTGTGCGACATTGACCAGAGTCTACACCACTTGTACGTTTTCCATCACGTCCTCCAGGACCAAGATTTGCCCACTCCCAAATTAACTGGAGCCAAAATATGCGAGTGGCTTTTGGGGCTCTCTGTTTCCAGAGTCTGGTTCGGTTCGGGTTGCACAATGTTTTCCTTCTGTTTTGTGACTCCATTCACCATTTGTGTGTTTAACCAGCTGACGCCAGAAAACACCCACTCAGCTCTCTTTGGATTCCTTTATACCCGACAAGGACTCATCCCCCAAAACGAAAACAAGCCAAAATAATGAATACCAACAAGTTTTTGGCCCGACTTTAGATTTACAGAATGGTTGATATCCTTTAAATCTGTATTAATCAAATTAAGAGGATTTTCTTAATATATTTACATTATTTATAACAATATAATAGTTTTTTAAGTAATCAATAGTGCATTGTTCTACTAAAATCTCTTTTATTAGGAAAATTGGAAACATTATCCTTCTAGAGTCTATCATACCCCACGGTAATCATATACCCTTGGTGTTAAAAAGGACAACCAAAGAGTTAAACGTCCCTGAGCTGAACGCATTGTTGCTGCAGAAGTGACCAGAAGGAGATGGGACTGGAATCCAAAGTTAGTAGCCTGCCGTGTGGCCCCATCTGCTAGGCAGGAAAATAGAAAATGGGATGGCAGTGCGGCATATGCCTTTTCCAGTTTTTCATCGAGGAACAGGAACAAAAAGCGATTGGAAACCATAACTGTGAATTATGATTTGGCTGCTGATGTTTCGTTAAGCTAGAATTCTGAGAAATAAATCATTATAACGAAATCGAAAACTGTAAGCATTGTTAAGCATGACCTTAAGTCACTCATCGATACTGGCTATGAACATTTTTTTAATCGGAAATCTGTCTTCAGTAGTTTTAAATTGATTGGACATAAAACGTTAGTTAAGGTCAAACAGGGATTGAGTGAGCTTTAAACGACTGAGACTGGCAGCTCAGCCACTTTAACAATTATTCCAAGTCTCTCCCCTATTTCTAACCACTTGAGAGCCATCCTTAATACTGTTGGAATTACGAAGATTAGCGCTAATTTCCGACTACCAACTGCGGCTCTCTGGCCCCTTAACCCCTGGCATTCCCCGCTGTTCGCTTAACCCGCCAAGTCATCAAAGGTTACAAATCACTGCCAGCTTCGCCCAACTTAAAATATTAGCCCAAATGGTTTGAGGAAAACTTCGTCATGCAAACATGACTTGGCAGGCTTCAGGCATTAGAGGGGGGTGGTGAGCCAAGTGGGAGAAGTGGGTGGTAGCTGTGGGAAATTCAAGAGCGGCGGATGCGAACGCATCTGAAATGTGCGCTGCAAATTGCAGCTTCTTCTTCCACCTTGGGGCTTTTTATTTCAGATGCTTTTCTGGCTGCTTCCTGTTTGGGAATAGACAGCTGCTATGCAATCCACCCAGAGTCGGGTTAAATTCCCCCATTATAAATCTGTCCCAATACTTGTGTTTGCTCTACGGATAGTTCCTACACGCCGAAGGAGGTGAATCATTTTTGACAGTTTCCTGTATTTTCATTTCAATATTGCGTCGCATTGAAAAACAATATTATTATAGCCTTGATTTAAATATTTAATGGAAATTTATAATGTTATTTCAATTTCTTAACCCCTTTCCTTGTCTAAAACCCACTTACGCCCCTTAATTCCACCAAAGTTCTTAACCCTTGTCAATCCTCTAGGTTCTGCCGTGGCTCCAAGAGATTACATCCCATTGATGTGTGTGTTTGGCCGCTGGCCAAAATGTGGGCAAAAGCTCCTAAGTCCTGGGTCCTTCGTTTTATTCTTCCTGCGAATGGCTGGCCATAAAAAGTGCGCGTGTGCGTAGTTTTTTCCTTTGCTCTACCTCCGAGTGTTTGTTTTTAATAACTTTTGCCATTTTCTTTATGTGCTTTACGTGCGTGTCCTTAGGGTACCGTGTTCAGGACCTGGTCAGGTGCCTGCCTTATTAATTAGGCCACAAAATGTCCCGAAATGAGTCCCAACAATGTTGTCTGGGGTTATTTCGAAATGGCAACACTTGAAAGCCGCAGCCATTTGAATAAGCATGAATAAAACAGAGAATAAAGTGCCGGAAATTGGGTTTATCCGGAATATATTTGTAATGCATTTAATGTACATTTTAATTTGGTATTTACGAAGATATATAAGAGCTATCTTATTCACCCAAATACAGTTTAAAAGTTCAGTGTAGCCTCTTTGCAGAAGTTTTAGACATTGTTATACCTTGTAGTAAAATGCATTCTTGCTGACAGATTCTGCAACAAAATCTGCAGTTACCGTGAAATATTCTCCATTTAAGGTCACATTTTCCACCATTTTTGGCAGCAACGAACTTTGAAAATTCAGAAACCACAGCAGTCCCTTCAGCGGATCTGAGTGTGTTGACATTTTTATGTGTGCCTGAGTTTTCTTAGATTTTTTGCTTTGTTTTCGCATAGTTTTGTTTTCGAACTTTTTCGGATGCCAGGCAGAAGCCCACAGCGAAATATGCTCTCTTGCACGAAGGCCCCGAACGGCATTCAAATGCACAATTGTTGTCGCCTCGACGGCGTTTGGACTTCCTTCTCGTCCTGGTTCCCCATTTCCCTGATCCTTTCGCCTCAACAGCTTGTGTGTGCACTTTGTTGTCCTTGTTTTCGGCGATGTTGTCGGAGGGTGGGCGTTGTTATACTCAGAGAAATATGTCTATTGTTATTATTTTATAAAGTTAGAACTACTGCTCATCAGAAAATCAATTAGACTGTTAAATAAATACATTATTCATGCAAGCCCACACTGCGAATGCGTGATATTTTTTGACAGAGATTGAAAATTCAGATAAAAGTTTTTATCCCAGTGCATACTAAACATCCGGTTGCCTTTGGTTCCGCAGTGGGCACTTTCTCCTTCTCCTTCTCGGTTCTGCTTTCTGCTGAGCTGCTCCTTGATGCTCCTGCTTTCGCTGCTTTTTGGGCGTGATGCTGTCGCTCAACTTCCGCTCGAATAGAGTGAAAAATAGCATTTTAGTGGGCACAATTCGCCAGGGGCCAACCTGCCCACGCTCTTTTCTCTTCCGCTTCATCCGTCCCCTTTCTGGATTGACAATACACATGCA